ATACACTTCTTTTCTGAGGTAATTGTAGTTTGTAGGAATACTTGAAAGAACATTTTAAGTAGAGTACTTCAGAAACATAACTTAGCTCAGTCATAATAAGTAACTTACAAACAGGATTTATCTATGTAAAGAACGAGATACTCTGTTGAACTTCTGTTGAATAACAAATACAACTAAGTTCATAAAAAGGTATTAAATTACATGAAGTGTTATCTTTATAGTTCAAATCAATCAGCTGATAGGTCCATGAGGTAGTATTCACTGAGGGTGTTAAAACAGGATCACAGAATCATAGAGCAGCCCAGGTTGGAAGGGACATTGAGTGATCATCTGGTCCAAACTTTCCTGGCAAAGGGAGCCTAGATGAGATGATTCAGCACCCTGTCCAGTCGCATCTTGAAAACCTCCACTTCCCTGGGGAGGTTTTCAGTGAATGATTGTTCTTACTATAAAAAATTTCTTGTATCAAGATGAAACCTCTCCCAGTGCAAATTGTACCTCTTGCCCCTTGTCTTCTCCATTTTGGCTCCTTGTGAAGAGGGGGACTGTTGTACTATATGTAGCTGCCCTTTAAGTAAAATAGCTGCGAAGAAGAAATTAAATAGTTAGAAACTCAGTTTGAGCAGAACTGAAATGTTCAGAGAACTCCTTAGGGTGAGTTGTGACTTTCTGTGTGTGCTTGTGTACATTGAGTTTCAAATACTTGACAATTCATCTATATACTGTTTAAGTCCCAACCTATAGTGACAGGACAAAATGTGGTAAATTTACAGTTGGACAAAATATGTTGTTACAATCAGGACTTCTGGACTGCTATGTGGTCTTCCAAAAATTTAAAATGTTATAATAGGAAAATAAATTGAAGACATGAAGGGAACTAAACTTTTGCTTAGGATAAAGCACTAGATTTTAGAGTAATAACGAGAACATTTTTTTGGCATCTATGAAATCTTCCTGTGTTTAGAAGTTCACATTTTTAATGATTTTAATTTAGAATCCTGGCTTCCAGTAATTTTTAAACTAGTTACTGGGGTTTTTTTTAGTCTGTTCTCTATGCTTCAAGCCTTTGGGGTTTTGGGGAGATTTTTTTGGTTTTGGGTTTGTTTTTTTTTTTTTTAAATAATCCTTAACCTGCACATGTAAAATGCTCCTCCTTGGGTTCATACTGGTAACTTTTATGAATCCATCTTTGTAAAAATGTTTGGTTAAGTCAGATATGGTAAGATATAGCTATTTAGGTAAGACACAGTAAAATACATTTTAGAAACCAGTGTTCAAAAAATCTTAAAATTGTTGTTGATATATGTTGCTAGATATCATATTCACATTCTCATCTGGACAGCAGTATACTGACAATCGTGTAAATCACTGTATTCCAAACATTTAAATCTGAGAGATGGCTTTTGTTTGTGAAATATGACAAATTATATAACCTCACAGATTTTGTAGCATATGTTTAAACTCAGTAAGTTGACAACTGACTTGTAGGAAAATCAAAAATTAGGGGTTCTAATACTAGTGTGTGAATTAATTATAATGAAATGTATTGGTCATTAACTACTACAATATAATAGAAGCATATATATTTCAACCTGCAAAAAAGGCAGTTAAATGTATAAAGTAGAGCAGCAGTATGCTGGCATTCTTAGCAGTTATCATCTTGCATTAGATTTAAAAAAAAATGCTGAACTTCAATATAATAACTGAAGAATAATTTCTCTAAATTGTGAGATGAATATTTGATATTCAAATAGTGTGCTATTTGAGTTCTATTCAGTGTCACCATCTGTAAAACGTGGTAATTATTGTATTTAACTTATCTGTTATGCCTAATGACCTTACAAAATTAGTTCTCACATTTTAGTAACATTCTTCAATATCTGAATAGCAATGAAGTTCTGCATAAACAACTTGTTAATGTTGTGTTCAGCAGTTAGAGCTCTCTAGTAGCTGGGTTTAAATTAGAAAAGCCTCTGTGTTTGTACTTACATTTGAAGCCTGTGGAACTAAATCTCATCTGCTGAAAGTGAGCTCTGGACTTGGGCAGAGCCCTTAGGGCTTTTAACTGGGTGCACCTAGGATTATGCAGCCATGCAGCTGCTTCCCTGTTGCAAGACTGGAAGGAAGTACAATAGTGACCTAACATGTAATAATCGCAATATCTTTTTCTTTTAACCATTGCATGTTGCATGAGAATGTGAGCACATTGGAAATCCATGTAAAGATCCTACAATGTGGGTAGAGAAAGAGAAATGCAGACGGAGTAGTCAGGATGCTTTTTGAAGATTGCAAAGAATACCAGATAATATGCATGATCTCTCTCCTACCATTACTAATTTTAAACCAAACAAAATTTCTCTTTTGTACAACTGTCAACACTGTAGAGAACGGTAGATCGGGAATTAACAGAATCTTCAACCATGCTAGGGGTCTTTCATGTGTGTCTTTTATAATCTTGCCCATAAGAGATGTGGGGTGAGCTCTAGTGGGGTGAGCTCTAGTTCCACTGCAGCAATGTCAGGTTTACTTATAATATTTCAGTGTAAAAGAATCTCAGCAATTAGGTCACAAAATAATGGTATATATGGATGGGAAGGCTAGAAGTAGAGAAAATATCTGCCAAGTGTTGCACTGGCTTTTCCTTCCTTCCTACTAATAAATAATTTTTGAAATAAATCCTATAAACAATGTTGCTTTTGATGTTTAGACACTTTGAATTAGTTATTTAAATAGTTTCATAAAACCAATCTGCAAATGAATGCAGGTAAAGTTTTTTTTAAAAACGAATAAAGCAAACATAGGTACAACAACAAAACAACTTCTTTTGAGCATTCTTTGGGTTTTGGTTCTGTGTCTCTTGCAGAGCCTAAATTCTATTTCCAGGACCCAGTTATCATATGTGGGATTGTATTGGGTTTACGTGGCAAGGTTTTGGTGGTCAGGAGGACTGCAGGGGTGGCTTCTGTGAGGAGATGCCAGAAGCTTCCCCATGTCTGAAAGAGCCAGTTCCAGCTGGCTCCAAGATGGACCTGCTGCTGGCCAAGGCTGAGCCAATCAGTGACGGTGGTAGCTCCTCTGGGATAACATATTTAAGAAGGGGAAGAAAACCTGCTACACAACAGCAGCTGGGAGAGAGGAGTGAGAATATGTGAGAGAAACAACTCTGCAGATACCAAGGTCAGTGCAGAAGGAGGGGGAGAAGGTGCTCCATGCTCCGGAGCAGAGGTTCCCCTGCAGCCTGTAGTGAAGACCATGGTGACACAGGTTTTTCCCCTGCAGTCCATGGAGGTCCATGGTGGAGCAAGTATCCACCCTGCAGCTCATGGAGGGCCCCACCACACTGGAGCAGGTGGATGAGTCCTGAAAGAGGTTGTGACCCCATGGAGAGCCCGCACTGGATCAGGCTCCTGGCAGGACCTGTGACCCTGTGGAAAGGAGCCCAGGCTGGAACAGGTTTTCTGGCAGGACCTGTGACCCTGCGGGGGACCCATGTCCATTCCTGAAGGACTGCACCCCATGGAAAGAACCCATGCTGGAGCGGAAAGAACACACACTGGAGCAGTTCATGAAGAATGGCAGCCTGTGGGAAGGGCCCACATTGGAGAAGGTCATGAAGGACTGTCCCATGGGTGGGACCCTACACTAGAGCAGCGGAAGAGTGTGACGAGGAAGAAGCAGCAGAGACAATGCATGATGAACTGACTGCAAACCCCATTCCCCATCCTCCTTCGCTGCTCGGGGAGGGAGAAGGTAGAGAATTTGGCAGCGAAATTGAGCCCAGGAAGAAGGGAGGGGTGGGAGGAAGGTGGTTTTAGATTTGTTCTTATTTCTCATTATCCTACTGTGGTGTTACTTGGCAATAAATTAAATTCCCCAAGTCTAGTCTGTTTTGCCCGTGATGGTATTGATGAGTGATCTCCCTGTCCTTATCTTGACCTTCAAGCCTTTCGTCATATTTTCTCCCCCTTGTCCAACTGAAGAGGGGGAGGAATAGGGCAGCTTTGGTGAGCACCTGCCAGCCAGCCAGGGTCAACCCACCACATGGATTCTGTTTCAGTTTCTGTAGTCTGTGTTCTCATTTCCTTTCAGCTCTAGCTGGTAGAGCTGTTGAAGGTTTTTTCTCACTAAAAGGAGTTCCTGTTGGTCTATTAAAGACCTACCCAAATAATTCTCTCTTTGGACCTGCTTGGAAACTTTTTCTTTTCTTTCCCATCTATTGACAATCTAAAGAAAACGGATTATACTGAAGTTGCAGCCATTTTGTTGTTCAGCTGGGCAGTGCCAATTCCCTCACTGATTATTCCTGATAATGATTCATGAATCATTATAGGCTGCCAGGCACTTCTCTGGGTAGGCTTCCTCCTAATATAAGAAATGAAGTGCTCAGGGTATGTCTATAGTAATTTGTTTTTACAAAATCCATCACCATCCTGTTCCTAGGCAGTTAAGTGGAGGCAGTGGAAAGAGCTGCACTGTGATCAAGGTCTTGCTTACCTGAGCAGTGCATTGGGATGGGTTTTACTCTGTAAAGTATGCAAGCCGTGAATTGTTGGAATAATTTTCTTTTTTAGTATTAAAACTTGTAAACACATATAGGTATATAATGTAAGGAACTGCCTCTGCCATCCATATGCTGAAATAAGCGGGGAGTGGTTTCAGGATGCTCCTCAGTTTGAGGAAAATCATATAAAGCAAAAAGAATGTTCTTTAAAGACTATGTTGTACACATTTGTTCACAGTTTGGGGTTAAAATTCCAATGGATTTCAATTTTTTAAAAGTTCTAAAACATTTATGGCTATTGTTTAGATTTCAAGGTATAGAATGAAATTGATGATTGAATTGTATTTGTGAGAGTTTGGGATCCATTTAATGGTTGTTGATGGCACTTGCTGAACTTCTAAGGGGCCTTAGGAAAAGGCCTTTACTGAGTTTTGAGAAAATAATAGCCTAGTTTTTATTATGAATTGTTTAACTGTTTTCCTTTCTTTTAAATCATTAGGTGATGCTTTTCCGTGGACTATTAGTCTGCATCATTTCAGCATATATACTCTTCTTGGACAACAGATGACACTTAATTTAGTGGAACCAATGGGCTGTACTTCTACTTTAGCTGTTACTTCACAGAAGCTGCTTGCTTCGGGGCCAGAATCCAGACACTCATTTGTTGTCTGCCTCCATGTCGACCTTGAGTCCCTTGAAATAAAATGCTCCAACCCCCAGGTTGGTATGTTTAATTGATTTATGAAAGGAAATTAAAAATAACTCGATTTAAGTACAATTGTTCTGCATTTTGTTGAAGAGGGTCTCTTCTATCTTCATTTTTTTTTTAACTGGGCCATCAAGATCAAGGTGCTTAGATTAAGATTTGCTTTGAAGCTTTCTCAAGTTTTGTAATTTAAACTCTTCTCAAAATGTAATAGCTACAGTATAAATGCATCTTTTGGCTGATGGAGTGAAATGAATTGCAGATGTACGATTAAATGCTATAGTGCTGTTCTGCTGTCACTATGGATTCATATGTTGAAGTGGTTTAATGTAATTTTCTACCATATTTTCATAGAACTAACATTTATTTGAACATAAAATGTTTTTTAGGCAAATAATGGTATCCTTTATTAAAGGAAAAAAAACAAGATGAATGTGTGTAAACAAAAGTTACCACCTCATTTAAGTTTATTAAAAGGCAAAGATGATGCTAGATTTTCAGAAAGTGCACCCTATATTTTACTGACCTGGATCAAGTTTGCTGCAGTTCCAAGCAGAGTAGTTTTTTTATGCAAAATATTGAGTAATCTTTACTGCAACTTGAATAACGCTTTCCTGACAGTTGCAAACATATCCAGTGGTGCTGGAGAGAACGCTCTTGTTCTTGGCAATTACAAATCTGTTGAGGTCTGAGTAGGGCTCTGCATTCGTATGCTGCCTGCTCCAAAGTTTTAGCTATATGTTAGATTTTTTTCAAAGGACGTCATGGACAAAATGGACTGTTTATTGCTTCATTTAATAGAAAGAAAGGGAAAGAACACAGAGGAGTGTAATTTTGATCTGATAGACAGCACATCACATTTGTAAAGATTTATGGACCTATGGCCTAAGTCTGAGAATACTAAAGCTAAGGTGGCTGGTGTAATTTTAATGTTATCCCTTGTGCGTACTCATTACAATATGTTTCTCAGTCACGCGCAATTTTTCCCTTGCCTCATTCCGTGTTCTATGAATGAAACAAATGTTTTATACTATGTATTTATTTTATCCTCAATGTGTGGTCTCCTGCCCCATTCACTGCCTTCCATCCAAGTTATTTCTGACTCATTTGCTATATGCCATTGTCTTCAGTACTGGATGGGCTCATACTCACTAGGAGGAGGGTTGGTAGAGTGAGATTGTGCACTGGACACGGCAAATTAAAATTTAAAATTGAGCAGCCTCAACAAGGTCTACTCAGACTTGTAAAGTGGTATGACAGGTGTGTTTGCACATACAAAGGGTTGTCACTATGTTATAAATGTAGAAATAGGAAAGGACGAATTATGATTTTGCTGACAATTTTATATTTAAAGACTTCTGGAAGCTTTACTTTGCAACTTTGTGGTATTTCCATAATGTTTAATGAATTCATATGCGATAATTTCACAGCCTATGGAAACCTGCCTTATTCTGTATTAATTTTCATAGAACTGTACAAAATCCATCTTGATATTGCAGCTATTCAGAGAATTAGTAAATATTTTTATATGTTTATGTAGCAAAATAGTTTGCTACATTTGACCGGTACAGTTTCAGTGAAATTCCAGCAAATTGTCTGATCAACTCTAATTTTTTAAAATCTCCAAATGTTTTACTCATGATTAACATACGTAATACATTAATAGTATTAATTTAGAAGCAGAATAGCATTGTTATAAGTGGAAGCCTTATCTAAATTTGAGTTGCAAATTAAAAAGAAAAATGGAGTAAGTGAAACACATTTTCAAGTTTTTCTACCAAACTGTGATCAAATAATTTGTTTTGCAAACTGTAAGAAAATATTTACAATAAAAAACTTAATGTAAGCTTCATGTAAATCATATTATGAGTATAGTAAAATGTTAAAATGAAGTTGTACAGTGGAATATCAGACCAAATATTGTTGTCTTAAAGGATGCCCTTGAACACTGTGATATTATGAATTTCTGAAATATGATAATGACCAAAAGGATGTCAACAAATTATTTGAGTTTAGTGACAGTTCTTGAGCTGTACTTTCTCCCTTACATCTGCCCTACTTGTCCTTTCTGCTTTACTTATGCAAAAGGGGAAAAAATCCCATCAATCTTACCTAACCAGATGTTCAAGAACAGAAGATGGAAAATACAATTACATAAACAGCATTTGATAGTTATAAATTCACAGAGTGACTATGAAATTTGATTCTTTAGAATGATGGGCTGTATGTTGTCTAAAGATGACAGCCTTAAAGTAGGTGATACTTAGTGAATTTGTTAAGTGGTAGCAAAGGTGAAGTATTTTACTATATGACTATTATGATTTAACAAGAAACCATGTTCTGATGGTTATATCCCTGTAAAGTCAATAGATACTTCCAATATGCAAAATTGCCAGGATATTGCCTTTTATTGTAGTTTTAAATTTTGTAGCAATGTGTTATTTTTTAAGTATAAAATTCTGTAACACAGTGAACTTTACAGATTTTGCCAAGTAGTCAGTGGGGTCTTACTGAGTTACATGTGGTTTTGCTGGGGAGGGAGTGGAAGCAGTGAGAGAGGCGAACTTTTCTTAACAAACACTGGTGGAGTTATTCCTATTTTTGTCATACCATTTTTCTTCTCTTGAACAGAGTGTACTAAAAATAATTATTATATATTTTCTGTTATGCTCAAAGATACTTATAAATGAGGGAGGCCTTACACTTACATTAGCTCTTCTAATATAATCAGACATGGTTTTTCATAATATTAAGACTACTCACTTGAAAAAGTGCAACCAACAAGAGAAGTAGAAATCCTTCCATTTTAATGAGTGACAACCAATGGAATAAAATTAAGTGTATTAAAAATAATCAAAGACATCACTTCAGCTCTTTATCTGAAGTTTTAGAATTTTATTTACATAGACACATGGCTTCTTTTTTGTTTTAATGAGGTTTTGTTGTGAGCCTTCTTGGTATTTTCTGCTTTTTAAAATATCTCCATGAAAATCATCTCCCTCTAATCAAAGCGTGCCTCTTTTCTTGCTGAACTTGCTGTTTTGTCTCTGGTTTCAGAGCAGGGTCATGCTACTTGGCTGTCTGGTCGCTGGTGATGTTGAGAGAAGGCTACTGCTGTTTGAAATAGCCACTGTTTCAGAGCGCAAAGATTCTAGCCTGAGCAACTTTAAAATATCTCCCTGATAACATAATTATTAGCTTTAATGATTATGACTGTTGCAACCCCAATAAGATGTAAACGCTACAGTGTTGGATTAGCTAATGACAAACCCCTCTACCTTGTGTATGAGCATGTATGTAAACACAGAAGTTGCATCATGCCTTCTTTTGTGGTTTTTTGTGCTTTTATGAACAGTAGCATAATTAAATTTCTGGAAGCCCTGCTTCATTAAGACAAGTACAGCTTAAATTATCCTTTGGTTTCTTGACCAAAAAATATTTTGAGGGAGGGGAGGTTGCAAGCGTGTGTGATTTGGATATGTGCCTGTATCCTCTTAATTTTCTAGAGACTCTTGCCAGCAAAGCATCAACACCAGTTAATGTTACGCTACTCAATCAATCAGATGGACATTATTAGTTGATCTTCCTGCGTTACATGGAAAAGACTCAGGAAAACTTAGAAATTTGTAATTAGTAATTTAAAGGCTACCAGTGCGTATCAGAGTGCTATAGACATAAAATATTTTAAAGCATAACTAAAAGAACTTTTTGCCACAGAGTTACTATTTGTTTGCAGATTGCTCTGTATATGAAGACAAAGAAAGTACTGAGAAGTTTATCTCCTTTAAGGAAAAGTTCTGTCAAGAGTATATGACCTACTCTAGTGTAAACCTTGAAACTTCAAAAGAAAATCCAAGATGAATTAAGAAGGTTTTTATAAAATTCTAGCACTTCACCTCTTAACAAAGGACTGTAGCATGTACTTTAAAACTTCATCACACACTCTCACGCACAAAATCAAGTACTGTTTTATATCAAATGTAGATTGACAACAGTGTTTTTCTGCATCTGTTCTGCCCACATAAGAAGCCAGCTTCATAGAGTAGATATGTCCTGAGGCTTAAAGTTCTTATAAATATGAGAATTTCCATTTTTTATAATGGCAAGTTGGGTATGGTATCCAGCTGTGGATCTGCTTATATATTGTTTGCAGTTTTCTCTGAGCTTGTTTTATACAGTATGTTGCAGTATGTTGTCATACAAATTCCATGATTAATGCTTATTTACAAAAACTTGTGTAAATATCTTAGAACTGAGTCAAACAATGTGCAAGTTAAACAGTGTGTTTCTGAATATTGGAATGACATATGCCAGGAGACTATTGAGTTTCATAGTGGATATTGTTCCTAAAACATAGAACAGCTTCATATGCTGCGTGGGATCATTATGTTAACACCATTTAAATGAATAATTTTTGCATTGTTAACATTTCATAAAGTTTATATGTTTGCCTTTTTCTAGAGGCAGTATCCATACATATGAAATATAAATTACCTTTGTTTAATTGTTAAAATTGATATTAGTAGAAGTTTCACAAGACCATGTTATTGGTTATGTTTTTATGAGCTATGTGCTATATGTTTAGACAAAGCACAGATTATTTTATCAAAATCACTATACTGTAACTGATGTTAATTATTTTAATTGCAAGATAGTTGCTTACCAGAACATTATAAATGGTGAGAAGTTCAGTTCTACTACATACCAAGTCTCAATGGAGGACTTTGATCTCCCTTTACCTCACTGAGGGAAGCTTCATCTTAAAGAAGGCTTTTTTTCTTTTCCTCTCAGGTGCAGCTTCTGTATGAACTGGCTGAGATCACAAGTAAAGTTTGGAATAAAATTCAGAGGAAAGGAATTCTGTATCAGTCTTCTGTCTATACTGAAACCATGACAGGACCTGCTCCTCCTAGCTCTCCAGTTAAAAGCAGTATTGGTACTGCTCCACCAGATACCAGCACATACAGCCCATCTGCTGACATTGGGACCACTACAGAGGTAGGCTTTCTTAAAAAAAAGTGTCACGTGAGTTCTGCCTTAGAAGGTGTGGTGCGCAGGCAAGTAAGAATCAGAAGGATCAGCAAGAGCAGTAGTGTCCCTATGGAAAGTAGCTTTGCCCCAGTAAACTAATGAAGAATATTTCATTACTCAGTTTGGTGGAACAAGAGGAAGGAGGGGAAAAAAAAAAGAAAAAATTGTTGTATTGCTCCTATGCTTATTATTTGTCTGTATTGTTTCTCTTTGAAGTGAATGAACATTAACTCTTGTCAGAAAGTTATGGTTAGTGTTTCCAGATCAAGAAGCATAAGGCATTTTTCAAGTCCAGAATTATTATTATTATTGTTTTTATGTATTTCTGCTTCCTTAATTTGCAGCACTGCGTAACTCTTTGGAGCAATCTGGTACCTGATCTTGATCTCTGTGTGTGTCTAAGACTGTAAAATATTGAGACATGGGAAGGAGTTCTGCTTCTCTGCCATACTGAGGAAAGAAGACTAATTCTTTCATCAGCATGAATAGAGTGTTAAACTTCATCCATGAGTATCATTAGCTATGGGTCACCAGGTAGCTGATATAGTAGAACGGGTGGTCACAGGAGGCTGTGCAACTGAATAGCCCTATTTGTGATTTTCTTAGCACCCCTGTCAGGCTTACTAGTTAGAATAATGAGTTGGCCTTGTTTGTGCTCCAGGAGAGAGCCAAAAATGCTTAAGATGATTTGAAGGTCTACCAATGGCATATCATATGTATGCAATGCTTCATTCTTAACATAAAGCTATTAGGATGCAGGGAGACTGTTCTGAGAGACTGAGTTTCATTCTCAGAATAAACACAGCAATTTTGGGGGCACCTCGTAGAACGGTTCTGGAACACAGGAAAAATACACAGCAGTTTGAATGCTGAGTGCAATTACATATTCAACAACATTTGGTCAGGATTGCTTTAACCCTATGTCTGGTTTATATTAATTCCCATGTTTGGAAAAAATGAAATGGTGATTGCTAGTGCTTACTTTTTATATGCATCATACACACACACACACAGAGAGGTAACTGTCAATAAAAGGTGTTTGAGCTAGAGTTTCAGTTCTCAAGTTGTTTCACTAAAATGTTTCTAGATTATTTGAATAGTCTTGTGTTTGGTGTATTTCTATGTGTGTGTGATCTCAATTGTGAAAAATTTTGCCATGGATACAGAATTGAAGGTAAGCAATAATAGAAAACAATATGGTCACAAAAATAGTATTATTTTCACGTGGTTACATCAAATCCCTTTCTTACTAAAATCAGAAATCACCAGCTTCATAAATAATGATTTGGTTTTGACCCTTTATATAGACAGCAGTATTTGGAGTACATGCTGTACTTGGAGCATTACTTGAAACTGATTCAGTAATTGTTTTAATCCATATGTTACCAAGATTATTTTGGTAATATGGGTCCAAGTTCAGTGTTGTGTCCTACCCCTTTGCAAAATGTTGTTCATCATCTATTTCATTTTCTTCCTATTCTCAACAAATGTTATGCACTAGCTAAATAAATTTTCTCCTGATCTAAATGAAGTTTGGTGCATTAGCCAACAAGGGACAATGTTAGAATTTGTGTTCAGTCTTTCCACTCTGAAGCTAAGACCATCATTTCAATCTTGTTAGGATAGAAAGTTTTATTAAAACACATGGCATTAATACTGGATTTTTTTTCACAATAGGGGACTTAGAGTTGACATAGCACTTTACAACTGAGATTTGAAAACTGCTTTGAAAGAAATACATCATTGTCCTTAGGCAGGATAAATAAATTAAAAAAATTGATCATGCTCTGAGGATATTATTGAAGATATGGAAGAGGAAAGAAAGGTACAAACAGGAGAAATCTTTTGCATTAGGCCATAGTTCTTACGACTGAAAGACTGAGGAATAGAGCTCCTGTCCATCATCTCCATTCAGAGCTGTCAGCCCAAGGTGTTCTGTCTGTGGCTGGGGTAGGAGAGCAGTCCAGAAGAAAGAGCCAGCACAATAAGTGCACAGATAGAAAAGCATACTGAGGCAGGCGTCATTTGTTTAATGGAGACAGTGAGGTGGGAGAATGTATACGTGGCCGGATATTTGAGATTGTAAGAAGTTTTTTGTCAGAAATTGAAAATGAGAATTAGAAGGCTGTTTTTTATATTGTCGGGAAAAGATTCATGGAGTTGTTCAAGTAGGAGGGTAATATTTTTGACTCAGCAGCTGAGGAAAATCTTATTCCATTTCTGATTAACTGGGTGGGAATATTAGGTGTATTGAGGTGATTAAAATCTAAAGAGTATGTAAGGTGTACAACGGTTTTAATTCACAGTAGAAAGAGGCGAAGGTTTTGAATTATTGTGGTTGAAAAAAAGACTTAGAATCCTTGTCACGGGAAGTCAAGCCAGAGTTTAGATTCCTGTAAGACTGGTAGCTATAAAAATGCTGTATTGAGTTTGTGGGTACTATAATTTTTATGAATTTGTGAGTCAATGTTTATACTTGAAGACCATCTTTGATATTGGTCTTGTGATTTCTTGAAAAAATTTAGTGGTACTGTAAGGTGAAAAAGAATGGATAGCCAGTGCAAGATTCATCTAATGATTTGGTTGTTATGGGATGTAACATCAAAGGTTGTCTTGACCTAGTACTTTCTTGTATTTAAAGAATGAGGTTTAAAACAAAACAAACCTCAAAAAAACAATTATCCCTTCACTCTTAGGACTAATTTTATGTCAAGCTACCAGTTGGAGTGAGGTGAATCACCTAGCAGCATGACCAAGTTAATGCATTCTAGATGATGTAAACATTTTCCAGACAGATTTTTATTAAGCCATAGGGAAAATGATCTTAAGCACTCTACCATCAGTTTAAATCAATAGTCACCACCTTACCTAATTTTTTTTTCTTTTTTTTAAATCTTTTGGTGGCCTTCAGTAAAAATAAATCTCTAAGTGTTTTGAAGCTATACAATGAACTTTTGCAGATCAGCATGTGTAAAGTAGCTAAGAACACTGTTCCTGAGATTATGCGCAGTCCTGTTGCTTGAGTTCTGTAGTACTGTTGGGGGTGGGAAAGGGAAAGAGGTAGGAGAATCATACTTTGGCCAACCAGTGAGAAACAGTGAAAGGAACCATATTTTCTTCTCACATCTCTAATAGACTATTTTAGACAATATAAATTAAGTAATTTGTAACATAATGGTTGGCAGTATCTCCATAACACATTCTCTTCTGTGGTTGGTGGCTGTCTCTGAATTTATTCAGCATATTTCCTAGTATCAAAGCACAAGCTAGGTTTTCATTATAATGGCATGGTTGCTGTCCTGTTCTTTGAGGTAGGATTGTTGAGAATTTAAAAATATATGTGTTGAAAAATTATTTAAGCAATGTTCTCCCTCCATTCTTTTTCACCAGTGAAAGCTGTTCATCTTTTGAGAGTAGTTAATCACTTAGTTCCCCTGTTTTCTTTTGCTAACTTAATTACTATCACCATACCTAGCTGTAGATAGTGTGGTTATGAAATTGTGCTTCTCCTTTAATTGAAGAGGGTAGGATGTGAAGATGAGGGACAGCATCTGGTCACTTCTGCCATCTCCAGTTGCTACTTTGAACTATTTCAGTCTGCTGAGTGCCTCAGTTATAGTCCATATAGCGCAGACTTTATTTGAAGAAAAATAACCTCCTTAGTATGTTCAGATACACACAGAACCCCATTATAGATGCAAGGGGGCATCTGAGTGGCATCTGTACAGAGAGCTATACAGCTATTCCTCTGCCCCAAAAGCAGGCAAAGTTAGCAGTCCTTGTAGACAAGAAATGTAAATGGATTTTTTTTTTTTTAATTGTCTCCTGTGAAGTACAGCAGCTAGTTCTACCTGCCAAATTGTCTAATGGGCTGCAGATGTCAATCTGTTATACCATATTATTTTCAATGAGGCCAAGTTTTTCTTCTGGGTCTGGTGTGAAGACATAGTCCTCCACCGTCTATCCGAGTATGGGTCATTGTATGTAAGACATAAGACTTTTTATCTGGAGACTTTGTTTGTTCACAAGAGCCCAACTAGTGAAATCCAAACAAGTATTTTAAAACCCAATTGCATTGTATTGCACCAAAGTACAGTTGAGGGGTGAATATTTTTCCAGGTGCCTTCTGAAGAAGTAATTTTAATTTAAAAAAATGTAGAAGCGGGGTGGGGGATGTCAGAGTAACCTAACGCTTGCCAGCTTCATATGTCGTGGTATTCTTCAAGTGCTCTTCAGAGACCGGTATAGAAAATCTGAGCTGTGGGGAGGGATTGGTGGTGTTCAGGGACAGGAAGGCAAAAGTTATCTTTAATACCTCACAGAAGCGGTGACTGCAGGAACTGGGGTGTCAGGAAAGTTAACCAGCTGCGAAGAGCGATACTGCATGGAAGCAGAGGATGACTGAAAAAGGCATGCTTTAAGTGAACGGTAGAGGGGAAAGGGAAGGTAGAGGCAGCTTTGGGGAGGCAGCTGAGAAGACTGGAGCAGCATTCCACCATTTTCCTGGGTCTGATATATCCCCGTCTGTGGTTTTGCTGCTGGTTGGAACTGGACCACTCCTTTCCCTTCCCACAGAGTCTGAATTCCATCAAGGGAGCAATAAAAGCAGATGAAGCAGTTATAGTGCAGGCACTCACTGGCCAGGAGACCTAACACCAACAAAACCTTGCTGGATTGCTGTCTTGATACTGACAGATCTGAAAACAACTTGCAAATACTCAGAGAAATAGAAATATACTTTTATTTTAATCTCTTTAAATACTGTGTACTTAATGTCTTTACGTTGTCTAAAACGCTAGTATTGATTACTTATAGATGCATGTATTGGTGTTTAGAAATTTAAAGGTACTTAATATCGGCCTAATGCTACTCGCAAAGAAGTCAGTGGGAGCAAAGCTAGGTCCATGTTGTTTGATTTGGAAAATACCATCCTATATTTGTAAATTATAACTTGTTTTCAGACTATT